AACGGGGGTAGGGTAGAGTCGAAGATTTTTTCCTCATTGTTGGCGTCGGTTTGTTGTCGTCGTCGTCGCCATTCGTCTGGTTTATTCGCCGAGGCATTGTGTTTCTCGCGGATGCAACCACGCTCCTTTTCTTCGCGCAGCGTACCACCAAAATAGGTGAACTTGCCACCCACTTCTTTCCTCACCCCGTTCACCCTGGCCTATCGAAGCCGAGGGAAATGGAACCGATGGGGGGAAAACGGGAGTAACCCGTTGCTCGTTAATGCGAAATTCTTATTTCTCTCAGAGAACTATACAGCTTGTGGTCTTTTCTGATCCACACAATTCCTTACATAAGAATACACATTCTCGCTATTGATCTAGTTTTCTAAATCGAGATAATGAGGAAAACGTATTCAACAATGGATTTCAACGAATCTCAACCAATAGTATAACAAATGGATCGAGAATTTAGCTCAAACGTGTACAACAAAGTACCCGTAATCTCCGGTAAATGGTAATCTCCTCGCAAAGCACGTAAACTTTCAGCTAAACGTATTCTCAATACATAATCCATCAGATATAAATCCTGGTCTTTTTATTGAAAGCGGATGAGAGATTCATACTGCGCCAGCTATTGTACCTTCGACGAAATAACCGTACCGAATTGGAAGATATACTTGTAGTCTCGTGAAATAACAATTTCATTCAGCATAACTAGAAGGACATCCTCTCGTTACCCTTCCGGTTTACCAAGGAAATGTCCAAATCCCCCAGTTAAGCTTTTCTTCTCGATCCAGACTAAACTTTCGCCACTCTGGTTTAAAAGGAGGTATCCATATCATCCTCCCATGAAAGAAACGGAGGGCCAGAAAGGAGACGAAAGAAAACCATCGACCATTATGCGGAATTAATCGAACGGTCTCCGGAAGAATGGTGACAGCCTCTATTTCCGGTTGATCGGTCCGCTTAACGACGCCTGTTGTCCCGCAGAAAAACATGCAGAGTCCTTTGTAGGTGCAAATTCGGCTACAAATACGTGGCAAGGGTCTCCGTACTCCGTCGGACGCTTTTAAAGGGCTTAGCGCCGATCATTAGCCCTTCCCTTCGCCTTTGTTCCAGTTTGATCCGTACACTGCTTCCAGGATTTGTTGCTCCACTGTTCCCAAGTGTATCCAGCTACAAGTCGGGCACGAGCTTCGGAACACCTGTAGCCCCATTAAGAACTCGTACTAATAAGTGACCCATGAGCGAACAATAGGATTTATAACGGAAATATAAGTGTATAACAATTTTTTGTACTAACTTATATTAGTCTCTGTTCAAAAGTTTAGGTTCTAAATGACATCTTCTTGATTTACGATTGACGTCAATTTTTCTGTGGACCTCATAATTGAATTAAGACCATTTTTCAAACAAAATGTTCAGTGGAAACAATTCCCTTCTATTCTTAGAACTCGACCACACCGGGACACGTCTCTCCTGTCCCATAGAAATAACCGAAAGCTCGTTTTTATTAAATTGTTACTCGGATCAACGAAACAAAGGTACAACCGACTGGCAATACGGCAAAAACGGACGGCCCGCTGTGCACCGACAATTCTTCTCCGTTGCTCTCTTGGACGAACTAAGGTTCACCAGTGACCGTCCATTGTCGGTCGTATCTCGCGACACCTGCTCTTCCGCAAAACAGAGAGACAATGCGACGCGAAACCCGAGGTCCCAGCGCCGATTTCAAGGAAGGTCAGCTGCGAGCGGACTGAAGTCTCGGTCCCGCGGGAGTCTCGTACCTTTGGCGATGCTCCTTAAATCTTTCAAATCCCAGGCAGGCTAATAAAATCTTCTTTCATTTTCGTTAAACATCGCCTTCACCGTCGGCTCGTTTAAACGGATCCGATCTGCCTGCTGCAAGGACTGGTGGCTGTCCTTTATTCCGCCGTTTTACGATCTGACTCATCACCACAAAACTGCAGGACTCCGAACTGGAGACAATGCGACGGATTGACACGGTTGTCCCCACCTTAGTTCCTTCGGATCCAGTCGTGTTCTGCCAGGTGATGGAAACTGAGCTATGCGGAAAGGGAGTTCGACTCGAACGCATCCGAGCTACTTTCGACTGGTGGCTAATTCTTAACGGCACGCATTGTCCAGAACACTTCTGTCACTGTTACCAACAAATTGTTTTATACTCTTATTATGTACTCGAGAATCATCGATTACGATCTCATTTTGGAAATATTTCCTGCATCGAATTTGCAAGATATAACCAGACGTCAAATCTACCATTAATCTCCAACGCGTCACTTTTCTACTAATCTCACCGAATGCTCTTCTTCCGCGTTGCCGAGAAAAATCTCATCACTCGGATAAAATTAGATCGTTCGATCGTCGCGTGGGCCATTAATAACGTTGCCAGGGGGGGGGCGTTTAAATTCCAAGGAAACGCGCGGACGAACAGATCCGCGATGAGACGAGGACTCTGTGGTTTGGCGGGATTTGCTCGGAAGTTATTATCTCCTCTGGTGCGGTATCGGCGTATACAGCCATGAGATTTACACACTTAGGGCGTTATTCAACGACGGAGACGATCCCGAAGGGAGAGGCGCAACCCCGGTTCACGCGCACAGACCGGCACCCCTCTCGCGTTTCTTCGAGGGTGGCGGGGCCCCTCCCGAAACAAAACATATTGTCCGAATTTAATTGTGGATGGGGTGCATTAGATATTCATACGTTGCATGTTCCACGACGCGTACAACAATATCGGCAGCGACCCTGGTCCGTACGCACTACGCGCGGGGAGTTTCCGCACGTGCTAACTACAAGCTTCGAGAGGGGAAATAAATCTTCCTCGTGATAAACAGTAAAACCAAATCACGCTGACAACACTTTCATCCAGTGCATTAGAACTTTTACGGGAAGACGTATTTAAAATTGTTTCAGTACTGGTCCCGCCGGAGTTGGGGATGTGACAAAATTACGTCGTTTTTGGTTTTGTTGGAGCTGGGCAATTGCGTGGTGTACATGTTCTTTTCTCACCTTGCTGGCTTGACCAAGCGCTTTTTCTTACCATTTCTACACGCCTTACGTGAAACCGAAAGACGTTTGCTATCTCAAGCAATTTTTAAAACAATTTTTGGTAATCAGTTTAGAAGAATTATAAAACCAGGAGTTGAATCTCTTGAAAATGATAAAAATAAGAAGAATGCATAAATTATGATAAAACTGTCGTTTCTCGTCGAAAGAGGATGAACGATGAAAGCTCGCAATTATATTCGCGGATGGACGAATTAATGGTGGTCGCGGCGAGCGATTTTCCGCGAGAATTACGGGCAAATTATATTTTTATATGAACGAGCGCGTTCCCGTAGCCGATGAAACGCGCATTGGCCGAGTCAGGCGAAGCATCGCGTTTAAAACGCGTGCAGATTTTCGCCCGTTCAGAACCGAACGATTCTGCGTTCACGAGATTACAACCGCAACAAAGACTGATCAGAGCCGATAAAATTATTGAATTAGCGGCGGGGGAGTTCCGAAAACTCGTCCGTTCATCACTCCCTTTCGATTTCGGCTCCCGTCCCGGGCCTCGCCACTTGGGAATAAGCAAGAGGCGATCGATGGGCGCGAGTGAGGGTCGCGATCGAGTGTCTATAGAGAAAAGCGTCAGGTCCATAAATTCTTCTGTAATCGACGCCACTTCGCTGCTAAACCTTTTCACCGTCACGTGGAAACGATGAACTCGCTCGATTATGTCTGGCTGTCAATCCAGTGATTTGATTACTCGTTACCAAATAGGGGTCGAGGTCCTCGAGTCCTGATCGATGTTTGACGTACATGAAATGTATAAAACCCGTACCGAATCCACCGGTTTCCCTGAATTAAACTCGTGTTCCATCGACATCCCAGTGCACGGGGTTGCGGAATACCGAATCGCCCGCCATCGGTTCCGTTTAAAAGAGCAAAAACGCCGCGAGCTATTCTGTAGAACCGCCTCATGAATCGAGCACAACGTCGTTCTCTCCTCGTGGAAGCGAGAGAAACACAGGTCGGAGAGAAGAGAGCGATGGGAGTGAAAGGGGGTGGGAGGCGGTATCGAGAAGGTAAGTCACCTTTCTTATTTCCATTCTTCAGCAGCGTTCTTTCGAATTCGTCTCGGCAATACCAAGCGACCACCACCTTTCTTACTCGACGTCCCCTACGTATGGGTTGGTATTCGCAGGTGGTGGCAGCTACTTTTTTACCTGCGACTTCTACGTTCTACGTCTCCCACGTTCCTTCGGCCTCTTTCGTTCGCCAGCTCCTTGCAAACGTTTGGCCTCCCCTCTCCCCAAACTCGCTAAGGGTTACTAGTATTGTACGTTTTTGAACGTGTTGCCATTAACACGATTGAAGTTATTCGCCGAAATTTATTGTAAGATACTCATCGAGCAATAATGAAAAAATTCCAGACAGTTCAAGTTTCTAATTGGATTTAATAATGTTTTTATACAACTTCGATATTGTTTAGAGTCTTATAAAAGCCGTTGGAGACGACGTTGAAAAAAATGTAATGGCTCGTATTTCTGAATCCAAGGAATTCATGAAACTACCCGTACGTACGGAAAAGGTAAACGTTTAGCCGTTGTATCGTTAGCCAAAAATTGTTCCCAAAAAGGAGAAGACACCAATTTGTTGGGCAATCTGGAAAAGAAATTTCGCGTAGTTGCGAGTTCGCGTAAAGAAAGAGAGAAGCGAGCGCGGGAGGGTGAGTTCCTCGGTGGCGAACGTGCCGATGGAAGTGGAAGCTGCGAGTCGGAGAAAACGGGTCCACGGAGGGGAGAAATCTAGAAACGCACGACGATCTCGTTATCGACGGCCTCGGGTCCCCAGCCAATCAGAATTCTCCCCGATACCGAGTTCATCCGCTCGGCTCCGCCCGCAACGCTCACCCATTGGTGCAAAAATTCCTTTCCCGAGCGAGATTTCATGGAGGGGAAATCGTGTTGCGAGGGGGTCCTTGCATCGGCGGCTGGCTTCGGGACTTGCGTCGCACACTCCCAAAACTATCGTCCGCGGAGGCACATTGAACGCGTTACCCTTCGTCCTCTTGCCTCGTACGCGACTTTTTTTCTCTCACGGGACGCGCGCCACTCGTTACCATTCACGTTTCTTATTGCCGAGTGAACGCCGTCTTGGTTGGACTATGTTTCGCGTCGGGACGCGAACCATTGATACTGTTGAACAACGAGATTAGTGTGAAAGCCAGTGATAAATATCGAGACTCGAGTGGATCCTCCGATATGACAGTGTAGTGACTTCTTGATTTTGTTATTGTTGTTTTCCATCGCGTTTCATCGAACACGTTCTTCTGGTACCAGGTGAGACGGGAGTCTCAACCACGGCACCAAAATTGAGCTGGACTTGCACCAACGAGCCGCCGGCCACTTCATGAGGTGAGCTTAGGAATTACACAGCTCGCGCTACTCGTGATTTATAGTTAATACTGACAGTGTGTTGTAATTCGCTTCTATTTCAATTCTGTTGAATTTAAGTTAGGAAGAAGTGCGTACGAATTGTTCGAATACAAAAAAAAGTATACGACATTTCGCTCTTAGGTAAATAGGCAGTATTGAAGTGACAAAATATAATTATCAAATTAACCACATTTGTGATTAGGAAATTTTAGATTCTTCTATCATTCATGTACCGAAATGTATTTTGTCATACAAATTATTTCTTACATCCACATTTGAAGCATAAATAATTGCTTGCTTGGTTATTTACCACCATTTATAGTGACACAATTAAATTCTACATGTATGTACAACTTCTAAGTAACACAAAAAATCGTTACTTTCAAAGTCCAATATGCAAACATCCGTCGTTTCCGATCTCGGGATACGGAAGACCCTAATAATCAGCTACAGATGTTACTTCACACGTCCAATACATGAAGAAGCTATTTCATCCTATCAATAATGAATATATTCAACCAATAACGAGAAAACAAAATCTGTTTTTCTCTGATGATTTTCACCGATCCGCATTTTAATGATTCGCGTGCCGTAAGTGCTCTACGATATCGAGACAGCGAGACGCGTGCGGTTCGTCTCTCGCTATCAAGGGCGAAAAGATCGGCGAAGCGAAAGAGCGAACAGCAATAAATTGCCGCGTGGCAGGGTATCGTCGGCCGTGGCCTAAACATTCAATTAGCACTTCCTAATCCCCCGTCGGAGCTTGTCAACAGCCATTACTTCCAGCATCTTCTCTCTCTCCGTTGAACCACCCCCGGAGCACCCTTGGGGCCTCTCCAGAGCAGCCACGCTGCTCCGTTGCACCCTCGCCTCCGTAACACTGCCACCCATCGAACGTCTCTCTAACCGACGCAACGTATCTATTAATCCGTCCTGAATGACACTCGAGGGTGGCCGTGGACCCCCTCAGGGCTGATTCTAACCCTACAAAATCGTAACTACCGCCCCCGGGGTTAACTCCCTCGACCACTACAGGTTTTTTTTTCTTAATGAATGCTCAAGGAGATCCGCGTAATTGTGTTAGTTCGAGAGGAGAAGGAGGCCGGGGCACTGGCTTTCCGGGAGGAGTGAGAAGGAAAAGAGGGAGAAACGAACCAGGCAGAGGGTGACATTTAGGGTAAAAAGACGGTGGAAGAGAGGCAGGAACGCGGGCGAGATTGGTTAATGGGTTTGATACGGGAAAAGGATAAGATTAATTTGCTTATGAACAAAGAGCAAACGAATAAGCAATTACCGGGACCGTGAGGAGTGGCTGGCACGAGTGCCCTCGCACGGTTCTTCTGCGTGTCGCTGGGGCACAATTAAAACTCACTGACACGCCGGTGAAACGTGTGCGGGCACCCGAGTACGCGCGCGAGGGTTACTCGCACCGTCGTAGCTAGAAAAAGAAAAACCAAGTATTTATCTCGAAAGTGTAATGCGCGCGAGTGTGTATACCGTTTACCGTTTTATTCAAGCAACTAATTGGCCGATAGTCAATTAGATACATTTCTTTACTTCTCGTACAGGTTTAAGAGATTGATAGTTTGGAAATGTTACGACGATTAGGAAAGAGTAAGAATGTAAATTGCTGGATTGCTACGAATTCGTGAGAATTTGCTACGCGGAGGAAATTTCGTATGCCCGCCGGCTTTTTCGATTTTCCTTTCGCGACCGGTTGCGAAAGGACACGTTTGCAGGTTTGGTCAAGTAACTTGTTGCGTTCCGATGAATGAAAGCGATGATTAATGTAACGAGTCTGTCAATTTGGAAGGTTATTCAGCAGTTTCTTAATCATTTTAATCTCGTTCTGACAGGTCGTGCGGTGTTAGGATTCGCGGCTCCTTAGTCTCGACAAAAAGAGTAAAATCGCCGGACGCCAGAGTCATTTGGAAGATTGTTTGCCACTCTCGCCGGGGTACTAATTTCGTTGATAGCTCGTACAATTCGAAATTCATGTCGGTTAGTAAAAAAATTAATGGTGTAGAAAAAGGGTACCAAATTGCATCACCGTGGATTGATATATTCATCGTTTGAAATTATACACACCGAATGGCACATAGATTATTATACTATGAGCTTCAAGTTCCTCCATCCGTTGACCTATTCTTGGAATATTCTACATGATGAGTAGGAATTTTTCTTTGAAGAAATCTTGATAATTTTCTTTCATAATTCATTCATAAAAATCTCATCTTACGAGTATATTAAAAATAATTGATTACAAACTTGCGACGCTATGATGTAATTTTAAAGGGCGACGAAACCAGACTGTTCCGAAGGTTGTACTTTAAATTATCCGGTTAGGGAGTAAATAACCGAGATAGTAAATGAATCACGGCGAATAGTCTCGGTCCGTCTCCGACGGAGCTGGAAACAATGGACTCTCCTGAACACGGTTCGGATTCCGTTTTCGGGAATGGGTTGGTCAGACGTGGCTGTTTTCGCGTGGGCGTGTCGGGCTTCCTATTAACGTCGACTACCGGGGTTACTAATTGGTGGCCGCGTTTAATTACAGAGCCGGCGGCAACATGTGCGACGGATCGTTCACGGAGACCCTGCGCGGTATGCAGGGCATGTCGGGTACGTCACCACCCGGTGGCGGGGGTGTCGGCCCCATGGGGGTTGGTTTGGGTAGCCCTCTTGGCCCATCCCCGAAGAAAGCGCAAGTGGAACACATCAAAAGGCCGATGAATGCGTTCATGGTTTGGTCCCGGCTGCAGCGCAGGAAAATCGCACAGGAGAATCCGAAAATGCACAACTCGGAGATTTCTAAAAGGCTTGGTGAGTACTTTTTGTTTGTTCTGATAGAATTTAATTGTGAACGTATCGAAAGAACTGTGTCGTGATTCTCATCGTTCAGAAACGAACTCGCGACAGCAATTAGTGAAACTGAAAATCTGTTTCCTTTTATCGTAAAAGAACGATCGTACACGCTACGACTCCGTTGGAACATGTATCCGCGAAATTTTCTATATTAGTTTTGTTTGAAAATCGTTCGGCCGCGACTCGGTCCGGCGAATCACGACACATGCTCGAATTATTTGTGGTACGTATGGAGAAAGAGAGAGGAAAGTGTGCGAGGACGGCGAACAGTGGCGGGGGTCGGTGTAGCCGGTAGGGAAAAAGAAAAGGAGATAGGAACGAATGGAGACTCCGGGTATTCCGGTTGGTATTTCCGTTAAATACCCGGGAATCGACAAAGCCCGTTGCCGCAGCCACCCCTCGAAGCTTCTTTATCCGTCATTTTCTTGCTCGCCTCGCTCGCTTCTGAGACCCCCGTTCTCTCCTCTCTCTTTCGCTCTATCTCTCTCTCTCTCTCTCTCTATTCGGCTCCCCTGGCGACGACGAATAAGGGAAGTGCCTGGTCCTCGGCAAAAATGATGCGCGCACGCTCGAACCACCGCCCTCCGTCGCAGGATTCCACCCCCACTGCATCCGTTACCTCTTTCCTCCCTCCACCCTTTCGAGCCCTCTTTCTCGTTCCCTCTCTCGCGTTCTGCCACCCCCTTTTCTCTTCTCCGGCTTGCACCCTTTGTCGAAGCGACACTTTTTCGTCGCTCTTTTACCGCCGTATTCCCGGCAGCCACCGCTCGCATTTCTGCTTGACATACAACCCCCCGCGCCCCCCCCGTCTCCCTCCTCCGCGCTTGTCGAAGCATTTGCAAATTTCATCCCGCGACCGACCACCCAGCCCCTCGCGCCTCTACTCCTTTTCCGGCCCATCCAACCGCCCTTTCTTCTCCTTCTTCTTCGTCTCCGCATCCGAAACGCGACAAAAGATCCGAGGAACCGATGTACTCGACGGGAGGAAGAGCACTCTCGCTCGGCTCGTTCGCTGGAATTCTCGCGTGGAATGTCACTGCGATTTCTCCTTTTCCTTCTGCGAGCCTTCTCGCGGTTTCCAGGGAAAATGTCAACTCGCGAACCCACTGCCACCGGCTCTGTGAGCTGCTTCGAGAATGTCGCCGGGGGGGTGTATTGTGTGGCGAACTGGATTTTAATCGCTACGTACCAAGAAACGTACGCTCGAAACAGATTTTTAACTTTAGAGATTGAACCTCGAGCGGCGGTACGCATATCGGGTCGAAGCTCAAATTCAGAACTATGTAAATTAGAAAATACGGGCTGATGTAAGAACGCGAAGGGATCGATTTATTTACAGACGATCCGACGGTATGATCGGTAGCTCGGATGCGAAAGCTGCACCGCAGTTGACCGAACGTTTAGTTGACCATGGTTCGCGACGGAGTGCAAACTTTTTAGTTGTCCAACTAACTAGTTGAATGCACGCGCGGTTCCACGTGCCTATTCTCTCCCTCTTTCTCCCGTCGCTCGATCCAACTGAACAGTTAACCAACTAAAACTTGATGGTGTTTGCCAAGCCTGAACAAACGTGTATCCGTCCTCCTCTCTCCGCTCTCAATGCGTGCCGCTTTGAAAATAGTTTCAAAATGTAAATATCGATTCGCAAAAAAAGCTGACTAGCTTTCTTCTGCAGTGACAAGAGTCAATATGGAAATGTTGTCGTTTGCATAATGTCAATTAAGAATCTTGACATCGTCTGAATCACAACCAGATATTTGCCAATGTTCATATAACTAATTCGACACTAAATATAGTCGAGATTATGTAATTTTCTATTAATACTTACTCTACCCAGACAAATCGAAAGTACACAAAAATACGAATCATTGATTCCACTCGTAGTTGAAATTCCTGTAAGTAGCATTACTTAAATTCTCACATTTACAAATAGGCCTCTTTGAACTCGACGTTCATAATTAACACGACAAATAAGCTGTCGCGTTTTCACGGGTAATTAGCATTATCCCCACGTCCGAGCGTCGTCGACAAGCAACAACGAGAATAGTAGCGCCACGTTTTACGACGATTAGCGATACGAATAATCCTTACGTTAATCTTCGGACCGTACGACGAGACACGTTCCGCGAAAACTATACCCAGTAAGAACGAGATTGAGCTCCCAATTCGGTGCACAAACGGTCCATTGGGAGAAGCTAATCTGATTATTGGACGTTCGCGTACCCCGCGTTCCTTCTCGAGAACTTTTCGATTCCCTTCCCGGTCTGGACGATGTCCATCCTTCGTTGAACGGGGAAGGAGTCGCTTCTTCCATCGTATTTCCACTGAGACAAGTTTAGGCTCGGTTGTTAATTGAATGAGAATCGATTAAAGTGTGGCTGGACTGGTAGGAAGTTTCTTGGGGGAGTTCGTACAAATGGCATATTGTGATTTACAGGAAATTGAAGTGATATCTCGTGTTGAAGAGAAGAGAATCGTTCTTTAATCTAATACCTTGCTAAAAATCGTTGTATGAATATAATCATAAAACGTAACAATGTTATTAAACCCAAAGGATACATTTTTAGAGGATAACAATATAATTGACTAAAATTTAAAATAATCGTATAGCAGAGTATAACGAATAGAAGACGCAGAGTTAGTAGAATTAGGATGATCGTCAGAATTTCAATCTCAGCTGCATTAACAAATTTCTCCCATGAGATAGCTCGAAGCAATTCACGGGGACGCGTTCGTTCCATTCCGTTCAGACTCAATTACTCAGAGGTGAGCGACAACGGCAGCGCATCGTTTCTCGTTTTAGCATCGATCGTCGTATAATTCCCCCACGCTTCCCTCCTTTCGTTTCTCGCACTCGTCTCTAAAATACCTCCGGTTCGCATTGTTGCCCTGTAAAAAAAAGAAAACTAAAACTCCACACACTTGCACAATGCGAGAAACGCATTTTCGCGTGCACGTTGAGAACGGGAAGAACCAGCGGGGACGAGCAGAGGACGAGAAAGGGGTAGATAAGCGGGTGTAAGACACGAAGGAACTCGACGACCGGGGAAAGATAGATGTGGGTAGTACGCGCAGGCACGAAAACGAAAACGCACGGTCGCTGAAGATAGAAACAGAGAATGGGTGAAGGGGTTGAAGAGGGAGGAAGAGGAGACTTGAGAAGGTAGGAGCAAAGCTTTCATCGTAATGAAGTATCTCCGCCGGTTCCCGCGTACGCCGCATGCCCTCTGTTTTCTCTCTGTTCCTCCGCTCCGCCGTTCTCCCTCACCGTCTCTGTCTTCCGTTCGTCCTCCCAGTTCTTTCGCGTGGGTTAAAGAAACGACTTGTCGGTTTTGCGCACTCATCGACGTTAAAGCGAGCCGAGGAGCACGAGCACACAGTAGGGAGAGAGAATATTCGTCCTCCCGCCGTGTCACCGCCGTCGTCGAGGCGAAGGACAATCCTATTTAACCCTTGGAGACCGTGGAACGAGACCGTTTTCTACCCTTTTCCCCTCGGCGATCCCTTCGCTTCGTCACCGCGGAGGAATCCTCTAACGGGCTCAAATTGCTTCGCCGTTTTCTGGCTTATCTGGTTAAATGAGACTTTGCCTTTATGAAGTTTTTGTTTTTCTCTGCCCGGCTTTTTGTTTCCACTGTCACAGAATAATTAGAGAATAGTACGACTACCTTTTGAAGTGACGCGTGAGATGCCAATTGAGATCTTCTGTTATCACAACTTTCCTAAATATTCTCGAACTATTCGACGGTATAAAATTTAGAAACAACGATTTGAAGACTGTCTTTTAGAGCAGATATCAATTATTTGTCATATTGCTTTACAAGTTAAAAAAAAATGCCATCCCTTCGTTTTCTGGACCGAGAGAAGAGATTCTTCTGGTAGTCAGGATCCGTAGGCAGTAAGCAAGCTGAAGGAAACGGAGAAGGAGAAGGAGGCAAGCTTTCAGCCTCGAGAGCTTTAGAGCTTGCTCGGGGACGATCATTTTTAATCACGCGGAGACGGAGGGACTGGATAGAGGGATGAAAGAACGGAGAGAGAGAGAGAGAGAGAGAGAGAGAGAGAGAGAGAGTGTAGCGGCGCGTGTACCTGTGTGCAGGCGTTTTGTGCTCTCTCCTTTGTCGCAAGGGCGGTATTGTTCTCGCGATTCTATAGGATCGCAGTGTCGGGGTCCTCCGCGAATTGTTTTCTTCGCGAATCTTGCTAGAGAGCTTTCTATCTCCCTCTCCCACCCCTTCTCGCCGCTCCGTGTCCTAGACACGATTACGTCCACTTTCCTCGAGATTAAGGTATCTCATCCCTCTTGGAAGACAGTGTCCCCCTTTTGATCATACCTACGAATCTTTCTCACGAATTTCCATAACGAATGAAATTATTTACACATCGATAAATAGATAAATTTATTTTTTAACGCAGATCGTATGGAATGTAGATTAAATACACGTTCGTTCGTTATTCTCAAATAAGAAAGTAACTGCATCGTAAAATATAGACGTCTAATGATGAGACTAACGCGTTTCTACCAATAGAAGATGGGGCAATTCGTTCGGAATTAGTTTCTTTGTAGAGACGAGAAAGACGGCGAGTCGTTACACGGATAATAACGCGGTCTGTTAATCCACGGATGTGCACGGCTCATTAATACGTCCAGCAGTCTTCAACGTCGAATAATGCAATAGATCGTTAAGGTCGATAAACAGTCCATTGTTTCTCTCTTAGCCACGTGACGTGGATCCACATATCATCGAGATCACGTTTTGCTACTGTTAATTTACATGGTGCAACATTTCTGACGTGGATCGACTGCGAAAACATAAATTACATTGTCTTGGGAAAAATAAACCAACCGAGCGATGCGTTTCTTTTTAAACGTTTGTTTGATCGCTCCGTGTTCCTCGATTGCATCGCAGTCTGCCGTTAATTGATTCGTTTCAATTTAGCTGTTACGGACATCGTACTCGTGTCTTTACACGTGCAACAATGCTATTATATGCCTCGGTTACAATACGTGTGTGCTACTATAATTGAAAACAAAGACATTGTAACATCTAAATGGGAAATGCGATACTTAAGTCTTTATCAATTTCTACGTTTCGTTTCATGATCGTCTAGCCTCCTAAATAAAGATACGCAGTGAATAGTCCCAGGAATGCGATTTGCCAAAAATTATCAGTAAACTACTATTAAAAAACATCCTTTTGGAGAAAAGCAAACGCTACTGTCTCTCGCGTTAAGATCCGCGGTTTAAATCCGAAAAAGAGAGTGTGTACTCTGAATCACTGGAACGGAATTTTCTTCTCTGAAAAACGTTTTCTCGTTATGTACTAAATTATGTTCCTTGAATAAAATTCCGTCTCGGGGACGTTACTAAGAAAATTAGTCTTTCAAACGAGATCTCTTTCCACGAAACGGTATTTTCTTAAAAATTACTTTTGAAACCGAGATCCCTTTGCGATCGCCTCTCGTGGAAATTTGCATTCCTTTTCGCGAAAGTTCCTCCAGTTAGTTACGTTCGCGGAGTCGCAGTAAGAATGCGAGGCACCTTTCATGCCGCGCTCGTTTGAGACACGAATTTAAAGTCAAACAAACAACGTTATGAAACATTATATGAAACAGAATCTTCGTAAATGGTCCGACAATGCGTTGGTTGTGCAACGTTCCTGGCTGAAACATTTCGCGAACCTCGCGTTTTGCATTTTTCGTTTACAACGGGAACTCCTGAACATTGTTCGGGATAAAGGGCGATGACGAGACAATCGCAGCTCGGCGACAGAAAAATTACAGAAAATATTGTAACGAGGCCGAAGGAAGTAACAAAAGGAACGAAGCAGCCATTCAGCGGGGTAATTAATTAACTTAAAAAACCGCGGCCACGGTCGTTGAAAAGTCGATTCGACAAACGAAGTTCGCGAGAGGCCAAACAGCGTCGCCGCGCCTGCTCCCTCTGTTCTCTCTGCAACGAAGACACGCGAAGGAACAAACGGCAAAAAACTTGACGGAAGAAAGGAGCGGGAGGAAAAAATTACAAAAGAGGGAAAGAGAGGAGACAAAACAGAAGTAGTCAGTGGGGAAGAGAAAACAGTGCGCCGTTAGTAGCAGCGGTAGTAGCCTAGTTTTGCCCGCGACAATGAAGACGAGCAAGGGATGAAAAAAGGAAGGGGGGCAAAGGGAGAGAACGGAGGAGCACAGAGGCAGTGGCTCGGTAGTTGAACGGTGGACTAATAGCAGTTGCCTTCAGAAATAGTAAACGCCGCGCGTCGGAGCAATAGCGGCGTCGTCGTTGGTGTGGTAAAAGCCGCGTTAGCAATGGCTCTCCGTCGCCATGGCTGTCCTCTCCTCGCCCTCCGAGTCTCTCCTCTTCTTGCTTCACCTCTTCTTCGACCCCGTCCATTAATTAACAGGCTTTGTACTTTTAAACGATGTTAAATAAACGGCATTGTTCGCCAGCGAAAGGACTGAAAAGCAGGCGCCATTGTACTTTAAGCTCTCGGCCCTCATCGTCGTCGTCGTCGTCGTCGTCGACTACGCTGGGCGACGTGCCCACGACGACGACGACGAGGTTCGTAGTCGTGGTCGTCCTCTCCGAAAGCACGGAAAGAGGAGGGTAGGAGTGATGGCCGAGAATACCTACCTACTAATACCGTCGGTGCCGGGAATCCTTTGTTCTAAACAAATACGACGTCCCACCCTCCTTTTCCGAGCAAACCTCGTTCACCACCCCACTCCACCCCTTGTTCGTCCATGCAACCTGGCTTTGAAACCAGGAAAACGTGTATCGATTGGAATAGGCTATAATGTAAATAGCGTCGAAGGAAGAGACCACCACCCTTTCCTCGAGATACGTGTGCGATTGAACGTCGAATCGAACTCGAAGATCGATCGTCCCGTGAGTCTTGTTCGAGTTCCGATGAGACAGTAGATCTAGTCACTTCCTCCCCCTTTGCTAGATTAATTGGAAATAGTTGCGGACGAGTCGATAAATAAGTGTTATCACTCCTTTAAAGGAACAATTAGCTCCTCCGTATTTGAAACTGATACTTGGCACTGAAATGGAAATCGCGACACCCCTCGTCGTCAGCCGATATCCCAATAAGCTCGAAACAGTGCCGAACAGTGCCCCATTCAGCCATTATTCCGATTATTCAGAGAGGAACACTATATATTTCCTTTTCTCGTTTCCCTCGAACGCGAACGCATTCAGAACGGGCCACGGAACAAGGATTAAGAATGGCTCGACACCAGTTCGCTCGGCAGAAATGCGTTATCAGCGTTGCGCATTGTGCCGGAAGACAAAAATCTCGGATTCTCCCCGTTCCAATTCCTCTCTGTCTCTCTGTTCCTCGCAACCGTTCCTCCAAGTTCATTGTGAACCACCACGTGTCCGTATTGTTTAGCTCTCTCTCCTACTTCCGCGTACTCCGCTATACACGCAGCACAAGCAACCAACTCTTTCCATTGTCGTTGCCTGCTGTCAGCAACAATAACGAGGAGAGTAAAAGATCCATCGGGCAACGTGAATCCCATCCTCGCTCTCCTCCTCTCTCTCTCTCTCTCTATCTCATGTCTATGTACTCTGCGCCGGTACGCCTCGAATTTCCACCAGAGTAGTATATCTACTCTTTCTCTGTATCGAGAACTTTCATCCCCCTTGAGCTTGTGTGCCCGGACGGAACGTGCTCGTTCTTGATATTGCTGTCGGGACTCAGCCTCCTTGGCCTCGTTTCTTACATTTTTCCGGTGTTCTTTTCGGATTTCGATTGCTTTTCCCGTTGTTATTCAACAATTCCGCGTCTTTTCACCACGATTTCTGCTCGGAAAATGAGAATAGTTTTGAACAAAAGGGTTGGATTTCCTGTTTCTCGAGTCGCACAAATTTCATGTAGAACTGCAAGTATACTGCGACGAATTATTCTGCGCCAAAGGATTTTAAATGATTAAAATTTCGATCCATTCGCATCGTTTCGTATCGAAGCGGAAGGGTTTCCGCGTCTCGACGGTTTTCCGTTTCCCGGAACGCGGCGGACTTCGCGCGTCTCGTCGTTTTCTCGTTTGTGCCCGGGCAGCTCCGTTTCCGGGGGCTTCGCGCTTTGTTTCCACGTACAACCGCAGCCACTGCGCCTCGACAACAAGTGGTAATTAATTCTCGGCGAAACAATCGTCCCTGCTACCGAAGGAACAACCGAAAGCGCTAAACGACAGAGTAGTTGCTCCGCTGGCACAGGGTGAAGCGCGTTTCACTGCGAGAACGGTTGTTTCCAGACTGTGCCTTCTCACGTTGTCGACTGGCTCTGAAAACCGGAAATCGGGTATTCGTAACTTGTAACTCGTGATTACACGCCGCATGAAGTCTGCAACTTTGTTTTTTACGATAATGCGTGCAATAAAATGGATGAATATTCGACACGAGAATTGATTTTAAATCGATAGATCGAAACAGACCAGTTTTCTCAGATTTGTATTGAATCTCGTTCTAGAATAATTTATCGCAATGACATTTCGCGTCGAGATCCAATTAAGAAAATATTTAGTGCGTCTATCGACTAGAAACAGGAACGTGATTAATGCGTCGCTCATACACTAAATTCAAGCTCCAATGAATCTGGGAGCACTTCACACGAAACAGTATATAACACGACACTAGCCGAGAGTTTCTTCTAAACTTTTATGTAGATCCTCTATCGCTACCGCCATTGCGTGACCAGTGCTCGCGGAAACGCGATAAGAAGGGTTGCAGGTTCTATGCTCGTTACTTATTCGCGAGTAACTGTAAGAATACATGGATCTTTATTTTTCTTTCATTCACCGGGTTTGCTACTAACTATGCAATTACGCGCTGCATTACGAGGATTTTTGTTTAGGCGCGATGAAATCGATAAAGCAAAATGAATTTATCGAGAAATAATGGTGAGAAAATAATTTTCCGCGCGGATAATCGCGAACGAAACGGATTTAAAATGAGGCGCGAGTACGGTTCGTCGATTATTCAGGCAGAACGGCTGGTTCTGCCGTCCGCGGCCGGTGACACGCACAACACGGACTGCTACGAACGCAGCCGTTTTCACCGAGTAAACACGTCGTGCCGTGGTGCGGCCGCGGCCGTCCGAATGCCTTTTATACTCATTGATCGACCGCGTTATCCAAGTGCCTATCCGCTCGTTTACAAACCGCTTTATGCGAACCGCAAACACGAACGAACCGCGAGACGGTCGACGTACCCTTTTTTTCCTTTACAATTTTATCCGCGACGGCTACGATATACTTCTTTTACCGGCCCATTGTCGTGTCGAACATCGATTCGACACGATTCGTTTGCTAACAAATTATGTTCGCTAAGTTACATGCACGCGCTCATTTATTTTATTATTCGCCTCTCATTCAGATTTTTTTTCAATATCCCATATGTTACTCATTTATCTGTGTTGTATTCCTTCCGATTAGTTTATAAGTGTACGAATTTTCAAATGATTTGTAAAGCTTAATTTTTGGAATTACGCGTTGCTTCCAGGTGCCGAATGGAAACTCCTTACGGAAGACGAGAAACGACCGTTCATCGACCAGGCAAAGAGATTGCGGGCACAACACATGAAGGAATACCCGGATTACAAATACAGACCTAGAAGAAAGCCTAAAACCTTGCGTAAGGAAGGTTACCCATACAGCATTCCATACCCCAGCGTGCCAATGGATGCACTGCGAGCTGGTAAGTTAACGTTCGACGATAAAGAACGTTTAACCACCGAGAAGAACGTACTCATTGAAAGTCATAAAAAATGATTTCTCAAAGGAAACTTGTACGATTCCTCGCAATTATCAATTGCAAATGACACGGGCCGCGATAACGAAAAAGACGATATAATTTGAATAGTCGTGGAGAACGGAATCGATCCGAATTGGAAGGTGTGTCGCGGTCGAGTACAATGGGCGACGAACAGCCACGTCTGGTAGGGCTTTGATATTCTTATCTTTTCGGCTCGCGTTTTCAGCCAGGGCATTGTCGCCGACGATGGCCCCCGGGATTCCGTGCTCGGAAGTCTTATAATGGCGATTTCTTCGAGCGCCCGAGTCCGCCCGACCCTTCGTTTCCTCCTCGCCATTTTCTCCGCCGTCTACCGCTAATGGTTCACGCGTTTGTCCGCTTTTAACCAAACCTCAAAGAATCACCTCTCGCTGTCTTCTCCCCCTCGTCGTGCCGGCCAACGTTGATAATTATTATACTATACCAAACGGAGATGCGCTTAAACAAACAGTTCTGTCTGGCCAGTCCTCTTAACGAGAATTCATTATACGAATCACATCATTCATAATCATTCTTTGATTCATAAAATATAAAATAATATTTGTTTCACGCACATTGCGATCTCGCTCGTTCAAGCTCGGTCGCGTTTTAAGTGATACGAGTCAATGACAACGCAGTCACGTTCGATTACAAGATCTATCGATCGGCATTGCCGCGGCTTATTTCCTGTCTCATCCAAAAGCATCCCCGCGAAATCGTTTTGGGGAACAGATGTTCGATGAATCGTAGCCGCATACACAAACGGATTCGCCCCTCCGTTCGGTTCTTCGGTCTGCACAGATTTGTTTGACGTTCCAGCCTCTCTCTACCCATTGTCCCCATTGTTTTCCCACTCTCCTAACGGATTACGTAATTTTCAATTTCTCCGTCGCGCCAGACTAGATCAAGGTAAAAATAAAGTCGGGACACGAAATTATATTCGTGAATAACAATGGTGGTTCTGAAATTCAATCAGATAGATACGAACGATTCTTATATAAAAACTTGATCGGTTCAAATAAAAATTACACAATTATTTCCTAGTGTATAGAAAATAATTGTAAGAGCAATTTCTGTAAGATTGCTTGTATTTCTGAAAAGGGTAAAGAGTTGCTGGTATCGTCAGGGACTTTAGGCTCAAAGGGCGAGGAATAAATCATCGCGTAATTCCCTTTGGGCCACGCTCCGAGAACGATTCATTGGCTTTATGCACGCGAGAGCATAAACATGTCGCTGGCTCATTATTTATCGAATTGTCTTATGTAGTCCCTTACGCGTATGATTACGCCCCGGGCGGTTCGACGGAAGCGCGTGACCCTGCGAGCAAACGATTATAAATCCTTCCTCCAATCCGCACGCCCGGCGAAAGAGTTTAGCCCCCGAAGGCGATCGGTCAACAGATTCGACTAAATTTATGTTTGTGCTTCGTTTTATTCCCCCGCCAGATTCGCGAAAACGATACTAATTTTATCGACATACAACTTATTTCAATTTGAAACGTTTGACTAATAAAATAAGGGATTGTGTAAATAGCAGGAAATCGCGTAATCAAAAATTCCAACTGGGACGTGGTTTTTGCACAGAAATTATTTTATAGCCTGGAATAAGATTGTATAAACCAGTAGTTCGTATCTCTCAATACTTTACTAGACGCATAAAGGAATTTTTGCATAATCGAATTTGGTTATTCGGTCAGCCAGAAAAAGACGATCCTAAATCGCGGCTCACTGTTTGCGCGACCGGAAACTCCTGGTCACAAATTCCTAACAGCCTAAGCCTGTAATTTATCCCAGCCACCCACGCACTTGTCTTATGCGCGTGCCACCGTGCGGGGAGCTCGTTCGCCAGCAGTTGGCTGAGATTAAAAATAAGGAGAACAAATAGTAGCAGAAGGAGAGTACGATCGGTAGCTTTAACAAGTATAACGTGCAGTTAAATTCTCATAAAATCTTTTTAACCAGAAGAAAATAAAACGTTTCGAAAACGAAGCCAACGAATAACTTGACACGAAGTATGTGAAAAATGAACGAATAGAGGAATCGTGCGAGTAATGGAAAAAGCGTTCATGGAAAATCATTTCATACATCGATCGGTCTCCCACGTTGATCAATGAGCAACCACTCAGCGAACGACGTGACGAGGAACCTGTCTTCTGCAAATCCACGAAAGGCACCATTCCCATCCAACTGAATCCTCAATTATCGATAACATTGTAACCAGCATTTTTACGTTTTAAGAAAACGACAAGTATTTTTCAACAATCGCGTTCCGTATTCTCCGATCGAATCCTTATCCGTGAAAGCCACGACAGAGGTTACAAAATCGCGATTAATAACCGACCCTCGCGTGAATTCTTCGTTGCCGGTCATCATAAATCTCGACGCCAATCATCCCGTTGCTTCTTTCGAGCGACGACGTTCTCCTCGGTCCTGTTCGTCGCGACGCGTCCACAATGAGGCTTCGTTGCCACGGCCATTCTTTCCAGTCGGCGCGCCGTTTCCGTCGGTTCGGCGACGATGATCGATAAGCCCGGACGGCGTTTGTAACAAGCGCGGGAATATCGGCCCTCGATATTAATCCTGACGAAAAGCGACGCCCGTTCGTTCGGTTAATCATCGCCGCATTGTCGATCGACCGGGCTTGTAAAGAGCGGAACCCCGATCTCTCGATTAGAGATTTTGTCTTGGGGATTTCGATGCCTGGAGTCCTTTGATTTAATCGAATGGTATAACAGAAGTTCTGAACACGAAATCAATATTTCTATTTTATCTCTCATTTACGTGGACACACAATAAACACAATTAAGGAAAATAAAACACAGAGATGTTTGTTTCACACATTCACAATGATTTGTAGGATAAAGAATTCGTATGAAATCAAGTGACGTTCTACTTTTAATCGAACAAAGTTTGCAATTGTTTATTCCCTTAAGGATGTATTGGCTATACAGTCAATCCCAAAGGCTTATGTACTTTAGAAAAACGCATTTCATATAATTAAAAAGAAATCAGACGTCGGAAGGATAATGCTAATAATAAATAGCTACGTGCTAAAAAGTATAGAAGGAAATATCCAATTAATTATTGACGCTGACGGAAAGCTTTTTATACAGAAATTATAAGCCCTGATGTCCTCAACAANAAGAGTACATGCAAATTTTAAGTCTATATAATTAAAAGAAAAAACCCATGAATTGATTTAAAATTTTGCAGTAGTTTTTGTTCTTATAGTTTTTTATTAGTAATAGGAATCTATGTATAATAACAAATTCATCATGCTAGCATTGTTTAAGTATATAGCCTATACATCCTTCAGTTTAAATGATAAGATTCTTCATGCGTTGTGTTTTGCTTGTTACAGGAATGGCCGGTAGTATGGGACAGGCCGGAATGGGCTCGTATTATGGTCCCGCGGCGGCGTACGGGTCCCTATCGGCGGCAAGCATGGCAGCGGCTGCGGCTGCGGCTGCACAACAGTCTGCGGCTGCCATGTCCGCGGGTCTCGCGGCACCTGCTCAGGTAAGTCGATGCAGATCGTAAACAAACACGCGTTTTCTACCACTTAAAACCCGTTCGTTCTATATCCCGTTCCGTTATCTTCCTTATCCGTCTACAATGTCCGCCGCGAATCTTCGTAAGCGATCTCGAAACACGATGTAATCGTACGTTCTTTATGAACAATGAGATAATAGAGTGTGGCTGCCTGGAAATTACGCGTTTGGTACGTACGTTCGGTTCCGTTTTGGCCGGATTCGACGCACGATGCACCTTCCTCTTATTGTCGCTGTAAACAGCCGCGTCTGTTCGCACAATCGAATTGTTCGACGTGCAATCGAAGTACCGTTATTCGCGGGAAAATAGGAAAAGCTGGTTGTTATTTCTATTCTCGGCGACGTTCGACACAGAAGAATGCCAGTCGATGGAGATCCATTTTGCAGTTTTTTTAATCGCTGAGTTAGAGTTTCTGTTTAACGTCAGACTCGATATTAAGAGATTAGATAAAGTATTTGATCTATTACTGGTCCTTTGTATCCTTTCTTAAAAATTGGAAAGTAAGACGATGATACGAGGGAAATGATAGCGGACAATAGCGAGCAATATATCTTTCAATTAGAGGGAAAGGAGATAGGGTAGGGAGACCGATGGCATCGGCGGTCGCGATTTGTCAGGGACGAAAAATGCGTAAGACAGACCGCGATCGCGGGGAACTGAGGCAAGAGGGAACCCGTTATCGTGATGCCGCTGGCGGAAAAGAGCCACCACCCACACGGTTATTTCTTTCGCGTACCCTATTCAATGGAATTTGACGTCGAGAGACTCCGATCGTCGACCTCGGAGAATTTCAAGATTTATCGCTACATTCACGCGACGAACAGGCCAAATCTCGTCGTTTACTCTGAACCAACGTATCGTAATTCGAATATTAGTAATGGGCAATGGGGAAATTCGATCGACAAACAACTTGGACAGATTGCTTTATCCAAAGAAAAATCTCAACTATCTCTCAATCGAGATAACTCACAGGAAGGTCTCGACCATCGAATACTTTGGAAACTTTGTAAAAAAGATAGATCGTCGATGGAAGAGAGAGAAAGGATGGAAGGAGAGGAGGAGAAGAGGATGAGGCGGAGGACGGAAAGCGTAGGTACGTTTCATTCGTTGTCGCAACAAAAGGGGCCCCCGGGTGGCTTCGCAAACAGAAACCGGAGACCGTGGTCTGTGTATGAATTTCCGCAGCTGGGTACGGGAGACAAACAGATAGCTAGTTATTTCTGCATTCAACGGCTGAATGGCCGACGCGTCTGGAACGACGCGCGACGCGACGCGATACAGCCGCACGACTATTATTGGCGAGAGAGCACGAGCGAAGAATTCCAACGCGCGGCGTACCGCGCCGTGTCGTGCGTTATCGTCCTCGCGAGCGAAACCAGCATCGTCATCGCCGTCACCGTGTCCCCCCGCGTCATTGCCGTGTGCTTTTTGCAAAGAACGATCACGACGTCCGATGAACATTTTTCAGCGGGACTCGTTCGAATCTCTGGTGGAGATTCCTCGGGAAGAGTGGAGGGTGACGATGATTCGTGGATAATGCGGGGGCTTGATGGGAATCAAGGGTGCGCTTGGAGGGGCTCGTTAAATTGCGCGAAAGACGATTAGTCAAGGGAGTTCGTCGGCCTAAATTGGGGATTCGGTAAGAATAGTTTGATTGTACAACGAACGTATACACGAAGAGGAGTTTCGACACGTTGAATTATACGCTGCTTCAGTTTCCTTTCAACAAGTAGAAAGTTCTTTATCGGGTTACAAAATATCGCGGTAATAAAAAATTAACTTGGCCAACTTCGGCATCGGTTCGGGACAGATTGCTTTTCTAAAAGTTTCTTCTAACTATCTCAAGCGGAGGGACCTCATAGAATGCACATAAATTCACATAATTTCGTTCGAAGCTCGGCGCATTGCTCCGTGAGTCGATTTATAAGGTCGCGGTGCGGGTGAAATATTAAAGGATCGATTGACATTCTCGCTTTAGTCGACCACTATGTATTCGGGAGGCATTTGGAAAATAAAGTGCTCTCCTAGCAAAAGGCATTCTACTCGCTCTTCTTCTATCTTCGCTCTGCTAAGTGCGTACTTACTCTTCCTTTGGTCGTTTTCTATTCCTGTCGGCGCGACTCATGAAGAATAGCCGCTTTTGTGGCTGGAAACAAAGAAAAACGATGTTATTGTATAATTGAACGAGTGCCTCCTATGCTGCTGCACGATAATTAAGTTCTTGCCAGAACTAAAGGAGATGAAGACGCTACGCGAATTTCAAAATTCTAACAAGGATACTGTTAGTCATTCTATATTTCCGAGTTAGTCAATGCATAATAAAATCTGGACACTTGAAGTAAACGACAATTGATAATTATAATTTACAAATGTTATAAAAAGTTGAGATACGCTTAATTTCCGAATCCATCTGGTCGGCAAAGACTTCGGCCGACGGAGGTCCGATTCGCGAGGAGGATTTCGAGAGGAGGAACCGAGCGGGTAATCAATTGGAGAGACGACGAGAGCGAGGCAGCTAAGACTGGACGTAAATCATCCGGACAAAGCCGCTTAACGATCCGACAAAGGATCCCGCGCCGGTCCTCGTCCACGAATTATAGAATCGGGAATAATCGCGCGCACCTCCGTGTCCTCCGCCTTTGCTCTCTTCCTTTTTGAGGATCCGTGCCAGTTTCACGCGGCGAACCGTCCTCGCGCGCCGATCTTCAGGTTCCGAAATTTATAGCCGTCGCCTTTGGCAGCTTTGTCCCCCGCGTAGAACAAATCTCGTCCCAGCTACGATTTCGCGATCGATGCCTCGGACCGAATCTAATCCTAGAAGAACCCTTTCCTATTTTTCGCGTTCAATGGTTCCGTTAAAGTTCTTTCGATAAAGACGCGGTTCATAAATTGGTCCGTTTTCTGTTCCCTGTTGCAGGTGGTCAGCTCGATGGACGCGATGAAGTACTCGATGGAGGCTGATAAATATCGCGCCGCGTACATGCCGCCGAGCACACTGGCGATGAGCATGTACTCGGACCCGAAGTACCTGGACTCGAGCCCGAAGTCGTACCTGGACCGAAGCTACCTAGACTCGGCGAAGGCTTATTTCGAGCAGTCGAAGCTTTATATGGACCAGAAGCCGGCGATCAGCGATTATAATCGGCCCAGTTACGAGCACAATAAGCTTTACGACGAGTCGAGCCCCGGTAGCGTGGTGGGTGGCAGTGGTCCGACGAGGTCGCCGGCCGCGGATTCGCCAGACATGAGCAAACAGCACGAGAGAACCGAGCAGGGATCGTCGAGCGCGAGTTCTACGTCCACGTCGTCGGCGGCAAGCCCCGGCGCGAGTTTGCCGACCTATTACCCGGGCCCGGTGCAAACCAGTGGCCTGCTCGGCCCGCAAATGAGTCAGTATAGTGGGTACCAAACGACACCGACGCCCGGTAATGAATCGTTCCGACGACCGCTCACTGTCATCTTCTGACCCGATAGAACATAGCTCTGATCCATATTCGAAGAGCAGCCCTGAACTCGGTAAGAACACTACCGAGTTACGGTTTATTGGTAAATTTCGCGGCGTCTGAGTTGTGAACGAGATTTCGGAGGACAGTTTCGTTCTTGGAGGTTGATTGTTAATTAATAATAGTACCATTAGTGATGATTCATTATGTAATGCCCTTCAGCCTCGAAAGGAGTATTACATTTGGTGATAAAATACAATTATATAATTTTACAATATTTGATATTCATAGTTGTCCCTGGTTTACGTATCGGTTTTCTCCTTTTCTGTTGCATCCATTCTAAATTGGTATATCTCTCGCATTCACTTCTTCTATCCTTCTTCTCCTCTCAAAATTTCTGTCATCGATATTTCTATCTTTGCTATTACTCCTCAGTTATACGCTGTGTTCCAGCGTTTTTGACTCGTTCAGGTTGGTCGTAAATTCACGTAGTGGATATAATTTAATGATTTCTTTTCTCGTTATAAGCAAGAAATAGCATGATTTGTTAACTGAGTTAACTCTTTAACGAGATCGATACGGAAACTTATAAGATTAGAGCTAAAGCCGAGCACATCGTTAGAAGGCCAAGAACCTCTGAAGTCCCGCGAAATCGGAGCAGCCTCGAAAGTAAAATTTGTCCAAAGGAATATCACCCGCGAATCGAGGTGAAAAAGAATGACCAACGATGACAGATCGTTGGAAAGTAACAACGAAATGGTTTTAACCATCCACAGGCGTGATGATCACTTATCACAGATCATAGAGGATCTCCATCTAAGTCGGATGGAATTATATAAAGAAAGATTGTACATAGTCCCTGTGTAAATAGTGTAGCAAGAATTATTATCGCTCACGACGCTCGAAAATACGGTTTTCCTTCGGCCCACAATTCCTGTTTCTCATTTTCCTTTTCATTCGAAGGCTGTCTTCGAATGATTCTTCCGTAAGAAGCGCACCACTTCCAACAACCACCGACACAGATTTCAAATACCCCTTTCCCTTCGCTCACATTCTGCTTCGAGTCTTCGAACAGTAAGTTGACACACTCCTCACTTTTAATGACTAATAAATAATGTTAGATAACTACCAATACATTCAACATATTATTTTTGGTTGAATCGGGGTACAAAAATAATGGGTCGAAAGAAGAGAAGTACGCGCAATGGAACCGATGGAAGGATTGAAATGAAAGAAAAGATATAAAAGGAGAACTTGTTTTTCGTGCGGTCGTTCGATTCGTAATCGTCCTGTACATAGATTTTTCCGGTTCGTTGGAAGGATACGACACACTCTTCTCCTTAGCTTTCTCGATTTCTTCCTGTTTTCGAGTTAAGTGCACACGAACGATTTTTCTCATTAAAATATTAATTTCACTCACTAAAGAAATTAATTTTACGTATCGATCTATATTTATTGTTGAAATCGTTTCGAAATTGATTGTTGAATCGATTCGCTAAGAGTCAATGAAAAATAGTGCTATTCAATTTGCTGGTCGAATATTGCTGGTACAAATAAAATTCTGTAAGCACTTTTTTTTTATTAAGTATTACTAAACATATTGTATTGTTATGATTAAACTTTGAATTAAAATAAATTGTTCCAGAAGATCGATTTATCAACATAAATGAATTGGTTCTTTGGAAAATCATTGAATCGCGTGCGTGCACTTGAACTCACGATTAATATTCGGTAAAATCGGTGAAGGGGGAATACTTCACCTCTCGTTTGTTGTTTTATTATTTAAATTGGGATGAACGGCGTTCTCCTTTTGGTATTTATTCAATTCTTTTTTCACTTAATACGTTGAGCGAGGCCAAGGGGATAAAGTAACCGGTGAAGTGTCATTTTTCCTTCCCATGGTTATGTTTCTTCGTTTGTTTCATTCCGAGCCCGATAGTACTTAGTACTTGTTCGGGTTCTTTTCGTTGTTTCGCTGTTTGTATGTACGTGTTGTTCGGTTGAACGATTTCACGAGAGAAGGAGTTAGAGTGAAAGAGAGAAATTTTTATAGACGTTTCACGAGAGGAGGAAAGTACACATAAATTTAAATGATAATAGAAAGATAGAACTGAGAACAACTTTCGTGAAACGTCCGTGAAATGTACGCTGCGTTATAAGGACGTGTAACCTTTGTATTTGTATCGTTACGATAAATCTCTTTAAAAACTGTACCGATTATTCGAGTATTACGACTTTAATGCGGCTAAAGTAATCTATAAATATTGTACTGTAAGTGAGAAAACAAAAATAAATGTTAAGTATTATCCTTCGAAAGCAATCTCGATCGCTTAACAATGTGGTTCACCGTTCGGTCCCTTAGTCTTCCACCTCTGTTCGACGAATAGAGCTCAATTTCTTTAATCCTTTTTTGTTCTCAGTCGCTTTTCCTTTATCTTCTATTAAGCTTCTCTTTCTTTTTTACTCTCAATATTTTTATAATCAGTACTTTTCTATTACCTACTGATTCGCTAGATATTCTTGAAGTTCTATAAGCTTACAGTCAACTGACTCTTTTCTTAACATGAATTTAAAAAGTTTTCTCGCCATTTCTTTCCAACCAATTAAATTGAACATTCGGGACTGAGACAATGCCCCACAAACAAAACTATTAACTTTAACTAAATGGACAGACCGTCTCATTATCGTTCGATAAACTTTCTCGCTATTGTTCTTCTATCGACGAGAATCGCGAAAATTTTGCATTCAAATTTAAAGTGGGAAATCGGTTCAATGAATCCAATGGACCCGGAAGACGCGTCTGTTCTTCGATTCACGGGATTCACGGTACCCGAACAATGCTTGGCTTATTCGGTGACGAAATCCAAGGAATATCCGCGTTTGAAAAGCGGGACCGGGCCCTCGGAAATCCTCGGAAACAAAGAAACGAGCTCGGTCGAAGGGGCAGCTCTTCTTTTATCGAAATCTGACACGGTGACGGAGCCGAGGCGCGATGGAAAACGTGGAAGGAGCTTTTCCAGCGACACCGACGCGGCGGTTCATTGTCCGAAGTTCGACAGCTGCCGATCGCCATTCACTCGTTCGGGTTCGCACCTCTGCGACACCCTTCGATCCGTGAAAAACGCCTCAAACCGTGAACCAACTTTGCCGCGTGATTTTCTGCCCGATAAAAGGGACCTCCAGTGTTCCAAGAAAAAAGACATTCTGCGAGTATAACATAAGTTAAAGGAGTTGAGTTTTTTCGAATTGCGCACGAATTGAAAGTAAAAAGAATATTGATGACGACAAGCGTGTATCCAATAAACAAGCCAGCAATCAAGGAAACGGTTCCATCAGCCGTCAAGCAATCACAGCCACAAATCATATGCCTTCGCGCAGCACGGTGTCGAAAGTTCGGTGTCCGACGTTCGAGAGTCCCATCATTTGTAAAGCCGGCACCAAGGCATAAAAGAAAGTAACAAGCAGTTAGACAACTTTGCGCGAACGAAGAGAGGGCCGTACCAGTAGCGACCGTTCCTCGAACCGATAACGACGTATGAGAACGGTGATTACCTCTTTGCCAGGACAAACTGACAATTTTCACCGTCATTATCCACTCGAGCAGCCCGCTGGTATTGTTTCTCCCGTGGAGGGCCATCGCGCGCGCACGTGCAAAGGACACGCGGCTTCCTCGCATCAGAAGAGGAAACCTTGAGGAGGGCGACAGAGGTGCTGGCTACCTTCTCATTAAATCCATTATAGCGAGTGAGCAGCGACGAACTCGAGGCTGACGGGGGCCTCTCCTCGGTTAGACAGATCGTTTAGCTGGAATCTAAATCATCCGCAGGGGCCTGCGCTCCCTCCTCGGAGGCGAGAGGAGCGGACGTTCAACCGTTCCAATCTCTGGCACAACCTCTCACGACTTCATTAGTACCTGCTGACTTTGGAATGCTCCGCTTAGCTCAGAGAATCCGCTTCGGGTATTCTCAGCGCTGCCCGGTCCCGCTCGGCTTTTTTGTTACCTTTCCCAATTCCTGGGCCTGAATTCGGTACTGGGAGGGTCAGCTGATAGGGATTTAATCGAACCTGTTCCACGGTCTTTTGTTTGTGATGGGTTTTTAAGTGGACCGTGTAAGGTCTAGTTACAGGGTGCAGGGTTCGGATGTTTATACTAGCCTATTGAGTTTCGCAGCGAAATGTAATTTCTCTGCAGATTGAAATTGAGTAATTTTGTTTAGAGAGCAGAAATCTTATCAAAGTGAAACCGCATCATGAAGTCTTAGAATAACTTGAGATTCGGCTACCGGGTCGCGAATAATTTAATTAGCAATTACGCGTGCCGTCGGTTGGCGGGACGAAGCCGGAGGAGGTCGACGCGGTGCGTCGCGTCCCTTGCACGTGTTTCAAAAGACGGCTACACGGACGTTTTCTCATTAAATTCATTATAGAGCGACGAGCAATCTACGGGATACGGCGAACGCGTCACTTCCGTCGTTGGTTGCTTCGAATCGCTTAACCGGAATGCAAATCGTTCGCCTAACTATCTCGTCCACCACCTCGCGGCTTCATTACCGTAGGGTTCCGCTATCATCGTTGGAATTTCAAGCCTTTCGCGTTATCCCTTCAACCGAATGTAACTTAACGAAATCAAGGCGCGTCTATTTCCGGTCAACGATTTTCTTTCCGCGCCGCGTTTCAGAAAACCGAGTCGCTTCGCTGGCTCCGTTCCAAAGGATTAATTATTTTCGAGATTGCGTTTCTTTCCAAAGAGAGAGACGTCCCGTTGGTCGACGGTTCGAGCGGTATCAAGCTGCGCGGAAATCGCGATCGCGCTGCCTTTAGACTGAATACCCACTTAGAAACTACTTATAAAATATGAAAGAGATGATCCTAGATTTTCCTGCCAACTAGAATTTCTCAAATCAAAATATCGCAATAATATTTAGTATGTCGTTTAGTGTCATAATTATGAAGTTTACTTTGATTCCTCAGATGTAATCGTCTACACTGAATCCACGCCAATTATCCAAACTGAAAGATTGTCTAGCAAAAAATTCCTCGTTTCTTAAATACCCTCACAGCTACGCTTCGCCGTACTACCCACCCTTTTCCGTCAGCTCTTAGAGAACCTGACCTACGCCTCGCTCGCGAATCAACCCTTCGAACTCATTGGCAACGAGTATTTCAGCCACGCTTCGAAAACGCAGCCCACGATCACAACCATAACAAAGCGACTGGCAAACGAGCTTTTCGCCCCTTTCGGTCTTATAATTCCTTGATTGGCGCTTCGTAGTGGCTCGAGTGCGCGATTTTACCCGCGTGATTCTGGTCTCGATCTCGATCCCATACCCGCTATAATTAATCGTTGATCATTGTTCGCGCACGCTGCTTAGCTGCGTCGTCACTTAGCGCGCGAGAATCGGCTCCGATCACCTGTTCTTCCTTCAACCCTCGTCTTGGTCGCCTTTTTTCTCCTTCCGTTGTGCTCGGCTCCTTTCAGCGCAGCGAACGCACCGGGAGAAATTACATCGAGGCGGTATTACAGGTTGAAGAGCGGTGGCAAATAAGGTGGAGTAGGTCGCGTTCCTACGCACGCACACGTATTCCGCTCCCTTTTTAGCTGGTAAGTCGATGTAAGTAGGTGAGACTTTCTTAATTGGGTAGAGGATCTTTGCAAAAGAAGCCTCCGAGAAAACGTTGTTTACTGATAATTAAGTATACTCCCATATCGAACGCGTCACTTCCGTCGTTGGTTGCTTCGAATCGCTTAACCGGAATGCAAATCGTTCGCCTAACTATCTCGTCCACCACCTCGCGGCTTCATTACCGTAGGGTTCCGCTATCATCGTTGGAATTTCAAGCCTTTCGCGTTATCCCTTCAACCGAATGTAACTTAACGAAATCAAGGCGCGTCTATTTCCGGTCAACGATTTTCTTTCCGCGCCGCGTTTCAGAAAACCGAGTCGCTTCGCTGGCTCCGTTCCAAAGGATTAATTATTTTCGAGATTGCGTTTCTTTCCAAAGAGAGAGACGTCCCGTTGGTCGACGGTTCGAGCGGTATCAAGCTGCGCGGAAATCGCGATCGCGCTGCCTTTAGACTGAATACCCACTTAGAAACTACTTATAAAATATGAAAGAGATGATCCTAGATTTTCCTGCCAACTAGAATTTCTCAAATCAAAATATCGCAATAATATTTAGTATGTCGTTTAGTGTCATAATTATGAAGTTTACTTTGATTCCTCAGATGTAATCGTCTACACTGAATCCACGCCAATTATCCAAACTGAAAGATTGTCTAGCAAAAAATTCCTCGTTTCTTAAATACCCTCACAGCTACGCTTCGCCGTACTACCCACCCTTTTCCGTCAGCTCTTAGAGAACCTGACCTACGCCTCGCTCGCGAATCAACCCTTCGAACTCATTGGCAACGAGTATTTCAGCCACGCTTCGAAAACGCAGCCCACGATCACAACCATAACAAAGCGACTGGCAAACGAGCTTTTCGCCCCTTTCGGTCTTATAATTCCTTGATTGGCGCTTCGTAGTGGCTCGAGTGCGCGATTTTACCCGCGTGATTCTGGTCTCGATCTCGATCCCATACCCGCTATAATTAATCGTTGATCATTGTTCGCGCACGCTGCTTAGCTGCGTCGTCACTTAGCGCGCGAGAATCGGCTCCGATCACCTGTTCTTCCTTCAACCCTCGTCTTGGTCGCCTTTTTTCTCCTTCCGTTGTGCTCGGCTCCTTTCAGCGCAGCGAACGCACCGGGAGAAATTACATCGAGGCGGTATTACAGGTTGAAGAGCGGTGGCAAATAAGGTGGAGTAGGTCGCGTTCCTACGCACGCACACGTATTCCGCTCCCTTTTTAGCTGGTAAGTCGATGTAAGTAGGTGAGACTTTCTTAATTGGGTAGAGGATCTTTGCAAAAGAAGCCTCCGAGAAAACGTTGTTTACTGATAATTAAGTATACTCCCATAAACCGTGGTAGATGAATTTCGTAAAGTTCCTCACGCAATTTATCATTGACCGTCTCTCTACATTTCCCACAAGAATGAAATAAAATACTGGATTAAAATGTAATTAAGTCTCTTGAAACTAAGGACAGTCTTCGCCGGCGAAAATCCAATTAACATACGACATCAAGTCCTACTTAACTTCCTCCGAAACAACAAGACGGCGAACAAAGATGTACATACGGTGTCGCAATAACTCCCTAGGCGTGCTCAACGAATTATCGCCTAATCTCGGGCAAAGCGAGCCGGCCGTGGCTGTCCGGTTGTTTGCAGTGCAATTATTTCGAGCAGTTGGCCCGCGGTGCTAACAATCCTTCCCCTC